TAGGCTATAAGCCCGAGATTGAAAAATATTGAAATCCACACCACAAACGATGTAGCCCAAATCTTATTGACCATCTAGAGGAAATCAACCAATTGGGTTAGATGCTCAATACCCAATAAGTGGAGATAATTTTGAATTGAGAATTCTATCTCTTTTCACATGGAAGTTTGATGGTTATGATATTCTTATCTCTTGTAACCATTTCAATATTCTTAAACTTTATCTTGGAGATAATTATCTGGAAATTCGTTTGCCATTTTTGCCTATAAATTGGAGTCATTTTGTTCTCATTAAACACACCAAAATCTGAAGAAAAATCGGCTTCTCCATTCCTCTCTTCACTGTGCCTTTGTGTGCATCGTCTTCCTGCCTTTTTGTGCAACTCTCTCTGCTTCCAAGATTCTCCAAAATTGGTGTTGCCTTTGTGGTGATGGATTAAGATTTTCTGAGCCTAAGAGAAGAGGAATCAATTGTTCTTCAATTTAGTTTCCTTTTCAATTTTTGAATTCCTTTGAATATTTTACTTAATTCTTGCTAATTACTTTGATTTATTCAAGTGTAGGTGGAATTAAGTTCTACACTCGACTTCAAGTAAAATGTAGTTAAAAAGTAGTATAAATTAGTTCATTAAAACAACGTAGACTGTTAAATTTATTAATTAAATGATATCCATATTATATAATAGAATACCATATTAGTTTGATATATTAATCACTATAATATTTCAACATAATATTGGCTTTGTTAATTTAATATTTATTTGTACTTATGAATAATTTTTTTCGAATAAAAATATATATTCAGAAAAATAAACCACTGATAACAAAATAAGTAAATTTATATGATTAAAATTTAAATTACGTTATCGAGTTCTATATATAACATATCAATTTATGCTCTCATCGTTTAGTTTTAGAAAATTAACTACAATTTACTGTTTTTTTTTTTTTTTCCTGAACCGTGGTATTTTATGTATGTCAATCTCACTTTATAAAATATGGCATAAGATGTAAGTTATACTCAAAATTATAAATAGCGGAGATTAATGGAATTTTGTAAATACGAATGAGTGTCTCTAATATTGTCGTTTAGAGGATATATGATATTGTCTCAAAATTTACTCTCTATTTTATGGAGATTAAAATTAGATTTTTAATAATTTTAAATAAAAGTTGATGAGATGTGTGGTTGAAAAATTGTGAACCCAATAAAATATGTGATTGAAATTAATTGTTGACTTTAACTCGAATTAAAATCTAAATTTCACTTTTCAAGGGGATAAAATTGATTTGTATGTGTCATAGTTTGGGAGAAAATATTTGAAAGATTGCGTATGACCTCAATAACTTTCGCTGCTGGATTTTAGCAAAGTCACATCAACATCATATGGGATGAAAGATAGAATCAGAGAGCAGCCTACAATGGGACCAAAAAATTTCAGCAGTCAACAAAAAGTTCCAGACTTCCTTTGACTTGGTAATTACAAGTCAAAACAATGACCACTAATCACATATTTATTCCAATAATGAACAATATATTAATCTACTTCTCTTAACAAAAAAATCCAAATAACTGAATCTTCATTAAACTGCCATGCCAATCTTCTTCACCAAACCTCACCCAAACAATCTGTCCTTATCATCTTGTACTCATTGTTTTAAATAATTAAAGAAGCCATGGTGGAACATGTTCAAACATAAACAAAAATGGGGTTTCTTGGTTTCTCCTCTGCAAAAACAAGAAACTATTTGATTGTAGGAGCAATAGTACTTGTTATAATTCTGACGATCATCTTGAGGAAGCTTACTGTTTATTTGGCTTCTCAAGATGATAAATCTTCTGATAAAGAAGATGATCAGTGTGTAGATATTCAGATGAACAAAAATGAAGATTGCATGATGAGTTGTTGTCCATCTTCTGCTATAAGAACTTATGCACTGAAAGAGTTGAAGGTGGCAACAAATGACTTTAGTGTTCGGATTGGCGTTGGAGCAACGTCATACGTTTACCTTGCTGAACTTGGTGATGGAAAATTAGGAGCTGTGAAGCGTGTCATGGAGGAAAGAGGAGGCAGCCAGAAGATGTTCTTGGATGAAGTTTCGGTTTTGCTAAGGATAAGGCATCCAAATTTGGTCGGATTGATGGGATTCTGCTTGGAGAATGGTATGTTCATTTACTTTTATAACGTTTTTGGTAATAATTGTGAATCACCCCTCTAAAAGTTTGAACTTGTTCTCAATATTCACCTTCATCTGAAAAAGGCTGGTTTTAGTACTTAAAACATTAAACTTTATCTTGGTCTAATTTGGCACCTTTGGTGGCATATCATTTTTTGGAGACCGGCCCAATCCAACTTTGCATCTCTACATGTGCTTCAATACGATGCCAGGTGAAAATATACGTACATAAAATGAAATAGATCTACTAAAATTGCATGATCTCTTTCCATTTCGGTTACCATGTCTCAACAATTCTTTTTTGTGATGAAGTAATTAATTTGTATTGAAACAGGAGAACAACTTCTTCTTTTGGAGTATGTCCCGAACAAGAGCCTCTTTGATCGAATGCACACTTTCCAGGGCCAATCCTCAGGCATACTCTCGTGGTCTAACCGTCTAAGCATTGCCTTAGACGTTGCTTATGCCCTCGATTATCTTCATTCAGTGGCAGATCCTGCAGTCATACATCGGGATATCAAGTCATCAAATATTCTCCTAATCGACGATAATCATGCCAAACTTGCTGATTTTGGACTATGCAAGCTGGGCAACGACGCGCAAAGTGCACATACACCAACCGCTGTGAAGGGCTCTCTGGGTTATGTCGACACGCAATACATCAACACAGGTATAGTCTCCCCAAAGAGTGACGTTTACAGTTTTGGAGTGTTAATTCTAGAGCTAATAACAGGGCTGCGATCGGTCCAAGGCTCATTCACTTTACCAGAATGGACTGAGGACTGCAGAAAAAGTGACAATGTGGAGATTTTGGTAGGAATGTTGGATCCAAAACTCAATGGTGATGTGAATCTTGAACAGTTTAGGGTTTTGGTTGATATAGCTAATCTTGCATTACTTGCAAATTCTGAAGCAAGACCTGATATGAGTCAAATTGCATATAGAATTTACAGTTCTATGGGAAGTCAATCTGAACAAGAGTTACCAGTGTAAATGTGTAAATCTTTTTTTTTTAGTTAGTCGATCTTCGTGTACACATAAATGCTAGCTAAGTAGTGCCGAACAGTGTATGGTAATTCTTTGCAGGCGTATATAATAAAGTACATAACTTCCTATTCATTACACAATGATAGCAAATCATAATCTTGTGAACAAGGCTTGGTGTACAACCTTGATACACATTAACTTACACAGCTCACTCACATGAGGTGGGCCCCACAAAAATGTGGGGCCCACCTCATGTGAGTGGGCTGTGTAACTTCATGTGTACCAAGGCTGTACACATAGCTTTTTTCTAATCTTGTTTTCTTTCTAGTGTTGCTGGTCCTTGTTTCACTCTGACTTTAGTGTAGTCAACTTGCGCACAACATTTGTTTATCTCAATAAAACTGCAAATTATTTTGCTTTAATTCTTAATAGTAAGATGCATAAACTTTTTTCAGCAATTATTTTTTAATGTAAAGTCAGACCAATAGAGGAGATGAACAAACGAAGAAGAAAAGTAGAAAGGCTCACTGGGGAAATTCTCCAAATATTTTGAATTTTTTTTTTTTTTTTTTTTTGGTGGAAGGAGGGTGGTACCTCCGAAATTTTATTAATATATCATCACTTGTGGCGAAGGAATACCATGGTTACAAATGATA